GTTTTTTGGGCTGATGATTTTTCTGGGAGTGCATGGGGCCACAACCAGATGGGGCAAACTGCGACGCAAGAACCGGAAGTAACAAAGACTCCTGGGACATCGTGGGGTCTGACTGTTTTATGATGAAGACAAGGCACCTCCAGAGAAGGAGGTCATAAGAAGTTTGATCGCATGATAGTGCATGTACTGGTATGTTGGATTTGTTGAATGCCTTGAGACCCTCCAAACCTCAAGTCTAGTGTCTTGGGGCTTAGAGTTTGCTTTCAATTGACCAGTGGGTTTGGCTACGGGATTTGGCATAGGTATCAAAATATAAAAAGAGCATCAAAAAATAAAAACAGGATCAAAAAAAATAAAAAGCGAATCAAAAAGAAATATTCCTTGATAGGCCTCTTCTGCTGCTCTCCTGGCCTTGTGGTCTGCGGGTCCTCTGGTAATGTGGTCCCTTGGTCCTTTGGTCCCTTGGTCCTCTGGTCCACTGGTCCTTTGGTCCCCTGGTCCCTTGGTCCTTTAGTCCACTGGTCCCCTAGTCCTCCGGTCTCCTGGTCCTGTGGTCCGCTGGTCCCCTGGTATCCTAGTCCTTCTGTCTCCTGGTCCGCTGGTCTTTTGCTCTCCTACGGCGCTCGTCTGTCGATCTCCTGGTCCCCTGCTTGCGCAAATAGAGGCTTGATTGCTTTCTACCAGAGGCAGCTCAAGAAAGTAGGTACCCAACGATAAGGTAGCCGTCCAGTCATTGAGTAGCCCTACTCGAAAAATGGTTCACCAGCTTGGTGAAAAAGACCCTGTACGGCTGCGACCGCAATGCACCCATTAGAAATAGACTGGTCCACCACATCTTTTTCCTGAGGAGATTCCATCCAGGCACCTTCCGATGCTGCTACACCCATTCCAAACACTTCTCTGCTCTGAGCGCTCTGACAACGCCATGTAGGGCCTAACTTCGTGTGAACGCCGTGACTACTGCTACTGCTACCACTACTGCTACTACTCCTCCTGCTGCTGCTGCGCTGCTGCTGCTGCTGCTGGTGCTGCTGCTGCTGCTACTGCTGCTACTGCTACTGCTACGCTGCTGCTGCTGCTGCTGCTACTGCTTCTACTACTACTACTACTACTACTACCTCTTCTTCTACTACTACCCAAACCATCCTCAGTGGGCTAGAAAATTTTTTTTTGATTACCTTTTTATGTTTTTCATTGATCCCCGTTGAATAATTTTTTGACTCTATTTTTACTTTTATTTTGATCCCTTACCCACGGGACTTCCCCCACTGCAATGCACCAAGGAAAAGGGATGCGAATGATGGGGGGCCACAAGAGCAGCCCAGCAAGCCGCAAAAGAAGCTTGGTCAAGCTTGGTAAGCTTTGTGGTAAGCTTCGTGGGGCAAGTGTGCACGTTGGTACGCCTTGGCTTACCTGGCGTGTTTTATTTGGTAAGCTTGGACAATATGGGACTAGCTTGGTATGTTTGGTCGGCCGTGCATTTTGGGAGATTTGACGAGTATTTGGGGGTTGTCCATGTTGTCACATGTTTGTTGCGATGTCCTCTAGAAGGCAGCCAAGAAGTGGTATTTGACCAGGAGTTGCATGTTCTTTCTCGACTCTTGAGAGTGGCCAGGGGCCCCCACCCGACGAGCATCCGTCCATGAATGGGAAATGGGAGGAACGGCAGTGTCCAAGCGCTCGGACCGCCCTTCAGGAAGAAAGCTGGAACGATGCATGGCTGGTTCAGCAGCCTTTGGAGATCCACCAAGGTCCAGGTGCGTCAGTGCAATTGCAACGCTCAAAACGTGGGTGTATTTGGTCACGGAGTGTGGTTGATCATGTCCATGCGGTTGATGGTCCATATGGTCAAATCGGTCTGACCAGTTTCGGCAACGCTTTTGCAAAGACTCCGGTGAACATTTGCCAATCATGTTCTTCCCGGCCGGTTGCATGGCGCATCCTTCCAAGTTCAAGGCAGAATCCAATCGAAAGCAACGTGGTCCGAGACGTTCCTCTCACGAACTGAAACGCCGCGCAGCCCACGCTTCGCGGCGTTTTGGACAGGATGCTCCTGCTTCATCCCAGTCACTGAAAGGTACCGAGAGCTCAGTCGTGCCAAGCAAATAGCAGGGCTGGAGCGAAAAGAAGACCTCGAGCCCTCACACCGATGAAGCCAAAACCATCAGCCGAAACCATCCAGACTCTCATGTGCCTGAAGTGCGGGAAGTTCCAGGAAAAAAGGCTATAAACTATAACGATCCCGATCCAGAATTCCGGATACCCATACTGGGGAGTTCTGGTCGTCTACCGGGATAAGGTAGTTATGAGTGAGGAGCTGGGATCTTCCCATCCAGGGGCTCTGAGGATGGGCTGAGTGAGGCGCCGTGATTGGGCGTCGACTTCCCGCCTGAATAGCATGCCAGCTTGGCGTCGGCACGATGTCAGAAGGAAGACGTTGTTATAAAGATTGATTTGAGTCACCTGAGTCTTCTTTAATCTTTAGGAGTGTGCAGTTTGTGAGCTTCGCAAGTAGTGGGCAACAAGACTTGGGAGAATTGCTTGTTAGGTGTTCCACCAAGCTCAGGGGGCCCATTGAATGATCGCTGGTACTGGAGACCATTGGCAAAACCCGGTTTATTTTCACAGAATGGTGTATGCAACTGACCGTCGATCACTACATGCCAATATGAGATGCAACATGCAGCTGTGCCAAGCCACAGGTGCCGGCATGCGCGCAGTTGGCGCGAACATGCACAAAGATGGCCCATTTCAGAGAATTTCCTCATGCTTCCTCATTCTTCCTTCTCGTGTCAGGGGGCCTAATTCGGTTTAAATCCCGCTTTCGAAAGTGTTCAGTAAACAACGATCCCCAGCACGACCCACGGAGAGAGAGGGAAGCGAGAAGGCGAGCGGCTTGTTTGGCGACAAAATGACTTAGGCATCTTAGATGCTGTCTGGGCACTAGTTGACTTTTGAAGATCATAGTTTCACCCACCGGTCGCTGGGAAGGACGGTTCCAAAGAATTTTATATACTGTAACTCCAGTTTCAGAGGCCCACAAGTGGGACAGGATACCGACGAGGGGGACAGGAGTGAAGGGGCCAACTAAGAATCAGACATGCAATTTGAAAGGGTGCAACCCCGTGAACTCAGCAATCCCCTACGAAATCCATTCGCGAAGAGGGGCGCAGTGAGCTGGACATCGGGAAGGCTTTGGGTGGGCCTTCTGTCGACGGCAGATGCCTCAAGAGATGTGGGCCCCTAGCCATGCACCATAGGACCTGAACTGTCCTTCCAAGTAGGTGATCCAGTGATCCAGGCGAGTGCCGCTTTTTCGTGTAGCCAGTGCCAAGCGATGCAAGATAGGTTTTCATGTCAACTTGCATGATTGGAATCATGGAGATCCATGCAGACCTACAGGGATCAGCTACAGTTGCTCCCCTGCTGGGGGTGTTTCTTTGGAGTAGGATGTGGCTGCCTCTCAGACGTGGAAGGGCCATCCCCAGACCATCCCACCCAACATGCATCCTTGGGCAGACTGCAGGCCTCAGGGTTGAAGCAGCAGAGGAAAAAGTTGCGAGACGCCATGCGGTCGAGCCACCTGGCACGCTGCTCAGGCAATGACCATGCGGCCCATTTGATTTCAGGGTTCTCAATCAAGACTGTGAATTTGTTTGCTGGTACTAGTAGGGTGCTGCTTGGCCTGCAGCCTGCAGGCGGTGTAATACTGTAAGCCCTTTGAGCATTTGGACCGTGAATGTAACCAAAAGTATTGTATATATATAATTATGCACTGGGAAAAAATATCTATTATATAGTAGAACATATTATCACTACTTGTACCTTAGTAGAACAATAATTAGGGAAGGTAAATGACTAGGGAAGCACAATTTTCAATCCCCTTCATACAGCCCACACTCTATGAAGCCCATGGCTTCACCCTCGATGTGAGGACGTGCGGCAGATGTATCATCAGCGGCAGCTGACCTGTGATCTTGGCCTTTTGATTTGCATCACCGTGGGGCTGTCTGTCCTGCAAGTGTAATGAGGATTCCACAGTTTTAGATGAGTTGCACCAAGAAAATCGGACAAGGACCAGATTTTCCAGCAGAATCCATACACCAGAAAACTGCGCTAGCGGCGCAGCTGTGCGGGAGCCCTGCCACGCTGCCACCTGTGCAGCCGAGCCAGAGACTTATGGAAGGGTTGGTGAGGGAAACAAACTCAAGGAATCCGAGACCACAGTAGGTTTTCAGCAAAGAATCCTGTTCGAATCCTTCAAAGGTCTTGTTTTTCAGGCGTCCACCTATTACTATTGAAGACGTGACCTAGGGACCTTAGGGACGTGACCTTTAGGGCCCTGGTGAGTGTATTGGTGTGTATTTCTATACAGGGATAATCTAAATGTCAATGCCAGATGGGTGGTGCTTTCGTGAATTGCACATTTATTTGGGGTTCGCACTTGCTTTAGCCTGCCGAATCACCCACAGTCCTGTCATAAGATTCATAAGAAATGGTCTGAAAACATTAGCATGTCTTCTGACTGGTGCTCCTAGGGAATTGCCAATGCCACCCAAGACTTTCTGGTTCAAGCAGCCGCTCCGTTTCACGCCAAGTTGCGGCAATTGCCGCACAGTGAGGAGAAAAGTCAAAACGGCTGCCTAAATGGCACTCTAGATGCCCAGGGGCAGTCCTGGAGTCACATGTAGCAGCTCTTTTTTCGCAGCTGTCAGCTTCAATTTAGCTTAAAGAAAGTCGGCCGAGCTCCTCTGAAACCCTGCAGAGGAGTCCACTGGCCGCGTCTCCGGTTTCCGGGGCTCTCCGGGGTCGCACTCCGGAGGTCACTCCATGTTGAAGCGATTCATCCTAGACGCGGACACAAAACAAACGGCCCAACCATTGAGGATGCATTCATGAGAAGCTTGGAGAATTGGTCTGAGAATTCTGAATCCCGTGATTTTGGAAAGCCCCATTGGTGTCATCCCACTCCCTAGACCCACTCCTTCCCACTCCCTAGACCCCTCACCACTCTCTCTCTCTCTCTCTTTCTCTCTCTCTCTCTCTCTCTCGGTCTTTTGTTCGACGCAACCCAACTTCCACTTGATCATTTGTGTTGGCCTACTGGGCTGGCTTGCATTGGCTTCCCATGGCGCACCTGCAGATGTGGTTTGCGGCCTGTGTGTTGGCCACTCGAACGTTTCACTGGCGTTTTTCCCGCAAGGGTTTTAAGACCAACTCATCCCGAAGGGCAGCAGCAAGCTGAACAAGAGCAGCGGAGAACCTAATCAAGCATGCTGTAGATGAACCATGGAGGGCATGGATGAGAACGCCCTGGTTTCATATTATATATATATAGATTGATATGTAAGTATATCACTGAACCTTGGAGGGCATGGATGAGAACGCCCTGGTTCCATATTATATATATACGTATATTACACACACACACATATATATATATAGAGAGATATATAGAGGACTGACCGATGAACTTCTTTGCTGGTTGCCGCAAGTATGGCCGCCAAATCTGATTCACACCTGAACCCCCGCCTTGGGGAGGCCAAATCCCAAGGATACTGCTTGGCCACGGGGTGGGTCATGGGGTGGAGGCGCAATGATGGGGGAATGGGTGTGCTTAGGTGTCAGGCTGGCGCAGAACAACTATCAAATCTCCACGTCATCCCCAGGATGCCTTCTAGTCTACACGATTGAAATCCATTGAACTTTGCTGTTAACAGAACATCGTGAAGCGCAGGTCCAGGAAACTAGTTTCCACAAAAATCCCCAGTGCATACCCTCTGAGGAACCCTTTGTGCACATGATTTTCCAAGAGAAATAGGAGTTTTGGCACGCCCCTTCCTGCACAACATGCACTTCCAGTCTTTTGCATGATTCATAGGCGCTGAAATGAGACAGGTTCAGGTGTACTCAGGCCCGGACGGGAGTCGGAGACCCAATCATGTCGCACCCACTTCCTCTGTGATATCTTCAACCTACAGACGCCGGGGAGTTGCTGCTCGGGTCGCAGCAATTGATGGGGTGACACACTGATGTTTGAGGCCACCCCTACTTGGACCTTGCGCACACTGGGAAGCTATTCGGAGTTTTGCACCAAGTATGGCCCTTTGGCAGGAGGGTGTGCAGCAGCAGCACCAGCGGACCTGCCATTGTCTCACCTGGGCATCCTGGGGCAAGACATTGGTGGTGATGTTTCCGTCACACAGGCGCGCGCTCATATATTACGGATAATATTTAGATGTACATAATATAGTTAATTACAATATTTATATGTACCTGCATATGCCCCACCATGGCCCTCAGATATTGTAGATGTCACTTCTTGAGCATCTTGAGCCTCAAATCGGTTTTTGATTCCGCAACCTCTGAATTCATGCGCTTTAGCGATCCATTTGTTGGCTGAATAAAGCTGAAAGTGGCGCTCTTGCCAGTCGCTTCAGACCAATGTGCTTGCAAACAACTGATGGGGATTAGAGTTACACATGCACTTACCAGGGCTGATGAAGCAATTGCCATCCACATTCTATCCACATACAGTAGTTTTTGCAAGATTCCAGCTCAGCCCGTTTTCCAGGAAAAGCACCGATGACCAGCTCGGCCCAGCACAGCAACAGCCTCAGCCGTCGGCCCAGGTCGCCAGCATGTGGATCAGCAGGACTATACCATGCGCCAAGAACTCTATCGTCAACGCGTGGCCGCGGTGCAGGTCGCTCGACTGCATTGTTCCATCGGCAACGGGAAGGATATGTAGGAAAAGAAAAGGAAAAACACACCGAGAGATTGTTATAGGAAAAGGCTGTTGTGTTATGTTGTGTTTGTCATTCTCATTGTCATTAGGAATCTGCTTCTGTGGGCTGGGCACATGACCCGATATTTGCTCGCTGACGGCTTAAAAGGACGCTCGCTTCCGGTGTGACACGCACGGCAATTCAGCAGCGGAACTGTTAAAGAAACACATCCAAAGCTGGTGTTCAATGGCATACTGCAAAAAGCCGATCCCAATGTGTTTGGGCTTTGACATGTGTTCACCACATCCTGATGGGTTGGGGGATGTTGGGGGTTTGGGTCGTTGTGGTTTTGGGGTCCCGCACAGGAACACCTCAATTTCCTACTCTCCGCATTGATCTTGACGTTGCAGAGGTATGCATCCGACACGACAGGTTCAAAGGTGATTTGAAAGGGAGAATCATCTTGAAGCAAACCCTTTCGACTGCATTTTCAATTCCGAATTCCCAAATGTGACGACCGCTCCTTCGAGAACAGCCGAAGTAAGGAGATCAATGGGCACCAAACCTTGCCTTGGAAGGTCCGATCGAACGCGATTTGCGGCAAGTGAACGAACATCTTTTTGCAAGTCAGGGCATCTCATCAGGGTGCCATATTTTTGCAACACGCGCAACTAAAGCCCCAAACGCTTGAAGGTTCAGTTTGCCCCACTCCACCACTCCACAAGCAGTTGGAAAGCAGATGTAGCTCGTTCAATGCATTTTGCAAGAGACACCCCCTGCTGCTCAAATGTTTGCGGATCATGGTGCATGATGGTGCATGTAAACTGGCCCCTACAACTTAAAGCTTACGCGAATTATGAATACCAAAAGCATCCAAAAGCCATCTCTTGGAGACCATGTCTACCTGCACCTATCCATCAGGCGACCACTAAAGGGGGTGTTCGGCGCCCGGCTGTGACTTCGGCAACGGCAACCTGTGAACGCTAGGCATCGGTGAACGCTTTTGCAGACTTCACCCGTGAAGAGTTCTCCCAGTTGCTAGGATGCTTGGAACAAAAGACACCTCCAACAATTGACGGGCTTTCACCCCTGCATACCTGCTTGCTGAGGTCCTTAGGTCTTAGGTGGCATCCCGTTGCGTAGAGCATGGTAGAGCTTAGGAGCAGTTGTCTGTCTTTCTTCTTGTGTGCTGGGGATGCTTGGTCCGACTCCAGATCTGTTTAAGCATTTAAGCCCCACCAGTTTTCTAGTGCTATCGAATCACGTCCCCCTGAACAAGAACAGTGCCACCTGCGCCGTATGGTTGTTCAATGGTTTCATAGCTTGGAGCTGGAGCTCGGACTGGTTTAGAAAAGCTAGGAACCCAGGATCATTTGGTGCGAGCTCTTCGCTCGGGACATCGTCTTGCTCCCGCTGCACTCAGGACATCGTCGGGGGCCAGCGCAGAGCCAAAGCTTCTTGCAGTTGAGTCAGGAGACCCAGCGAGTCCACCAGCCACAGAACCAGCAAAGGAGACTTTCCTTCAGGTCTAAGCCTAAAGTTGAAGGATGTGCGATGTGCGAGATGAATTTTGGACATCCAACCAACCCGTAGCCATAGCCAACCATTCCACGCAGGTTTGCGATGGTTTGGGGGAATTGTATGGAATGTTGCCTTCTTTCGTCTATTTCGGTGGCACCCTTCACCCTTGTTAGCCCGTTCTGCCTCCGGTTTCAGGTGCGAGCTCAGAGGGTGCCTTCGAAGGCAAGCTGCGCTCCCTGACAGAAGGGATCCTGAGGACTGACGGGCAGAGAGTCGACACGACTCGTAGGGAATGAAACCTCCCAAGATGAACTAAGTCTCAAGTAAAGGCCTTGTCATATGGAACTTGGGCGTAAGCAAAAACCTGAAGAGCGTAAGGTTGCGTAAGCGAGCTGTGAGACATGCATGTTGCGTAAGCTTGCCATATATATATAGCGTTTTCATTACTATAGATTCTTAGCACACACTTGTCAACAAAAAGGAACTGTATGGACCATGAGAGAATTGAAACCCTTGGGAACTGACATTTGTGTGCACTGTGTTTCAGGTGTGTGCACTGTGCTTGTTTGTTTTTGCCACTCTGTATCAAACCTTTCTCAAGTCAGCCCCATCATAACATGTCATAACATGCCAGGCTCCGTTTGGTGAGGGTTTGGTGGCGTAAGGTTCGCGTAAGCTCCGCGTAAGGTTCGCGCCAACTTTTCATTTGCCTACAGCAGCCAGTAAGTAGATGCTGATCCTCTGCTTCCTCTGCTTCGGAGTCTTGTGTTTGTCGCCCGCTCACCTGCAAACAGGAGCCTTCGCGTAAGCATTTCCCTTGGGAGTATGGTTCTCATCTGTGAAAAATACAGAAGCGTAAGATCTGCGTAAGGTCTTCTTCAACATCCGTGGCGCGTAAGCTCACATAAGAAAGTTATGCGACATAGGGGTTTAATCATACGTATTTTGCAGAGTTCATTTGGATCCACCTACCCTCATTCCCTCATTCCCTATGTACGAGTCAAGTCGCACCAGTCAGGAAATCATGGAAGTGGAAAACCCACTTTGTTTGTATTTGGAATTAGGTCATTTGAACGAGTTCGGGGCCATGCCATCGACGTAACCATGATTGTTCCAAGGAGTGTAAGAGATTCGTCCATGGCATTGTGCTTCAAGATTTTGACCTTAATTGGATGCGGATGTGCGCGGACTTGCTCCATGCATGAAGCAACTTCAGCCTGTGTGTTTCTCTGGGGTAATTGCCCGGCTGTGCTCTTTGCAGCAGGATCGTTGGGCTTCACACTCCAGCTGGTTTACCCTCAAGTGTGGATTGGCGCGGGCCAGAGATGCTCATGTGACAGACGTGTTCTTTTTTCCGAACTAGATAGACTGAAACAGTTTCACTCCGTGTTCTTTTCACTGAAGGCACTTGAGTTCTATCTAGCCAACAGACTCCTCTCATAGCTGGGCCAGTAGGGCTACAAGTAGGGCCTACTGCTGTTCGTCTCGGTTTGGTCGATACTTTAAGCCCGTTCGTACATCATGACCACCGTTGGTTTCGACATGATTGACCACCTGGTTGGCATGTGTGATTGCTGCTGTTTCACCTCCACGCCCTCTCCCCGGACAAGGCGTCAAGGTCCAAAACCGTGGGCACGGGACAGTTTGTTGCTATGTTTAGGATATGTTTAGGATACAGTTTGTTGCCATATATATGCTACATGTCGGAAGAAAACTATGGCGAGGTAATCGGCCCCGCCGACGATCAGAAGTAGGATGAAGCAATGCATGTCTTTGCCCAAGGCGATCTTTGAACACTAGCGAGTTCCACAAAGTTCAAGGCCCACTCATGTGCCGCTCTTCTGCGGGACGGTGGAGAAGATGAGATGAAGCCAAAATAGCAAAACTATCCGGACTGATGGCTGGAGTTGGATCGAACTGAGCCTCGAATGTCCTTGCTTACAATAGTGCAGATATGTGCAGATGATGGTCATCTGCATGTGACTCTAATAGTTACTACCTTTGAGGTCATGATCAAGTGCGCCTCCTTAATCTTGCATGCCCCGGTCAGGTGCCTGCGGATCCTGCTGGGCCGTGGCTGCGGTGGGTGCTTTAGAGATGCATGTGTCTTGGTGGAGCAACATACATTCCAGGCGAACGCCGGAGAGGCGGAGAGCTACTAGATGGAAGTGTCCAATCCCACAGGCCAACCAACCCGAAACCAACCCGACACCTGGGGACTATCAAAGTGGGGCCTATGGAAACCCGCTAAATGTTTCACATCGTGATAGCTGTCAGATGGACACTTCCCATTCTCAAAATTTCCTAAGCCCATACTTCATTCTTCATCTCTAGACATTTGTAGCATGGTAAAACGTTTGACCCTTCTCAGCTACTCAGCAACCCGAAGGTCGGCTTCAAAGCGCCCAACCAGCCTGGGCGCTCGAAGAGAGCGCCGGCGCGGGGTCGTCCAGGCAGAGATCCAGGCCAAGAGAACCCCGGAGGAGCTCTCCGTGAAGCAACTCCTCGCAGCTTGGCCTTGCCATTCGACGTGGACCGGACCCGGCTGCTGATGTTGCTGTGGGCGGTTTCCTGCGCAGTTGGAGGTGGTCCACTGGTTGCTGCGGGTTGCAATGGGACTATACCAGAAGTTTTAACTTTTTACGATGCCATTGTTTAATGCATGTCTGATGGTGGTTGGCAACAAAATGATTTGATCATGATGGTGAATGGAGCAGCCGACACGGGTTCAGAGGCATGGTGTAACAATGTGTCATACATCATTCATGTATATACATAATTATACACATATATAGATATAGATCATTGTAGAACACGGGGGATGAGGGAGGTAGTGGTAGAGATGGCGATATGCGGTACAATTATATAAATATGTATATTAATTATGTAATGTGCAAGCATGAATTTATGTACGAGCATGCGACACTGTGAAAATCGATCTCCCACTTTACTTGAATCTTTGGCAATGACAAACGGTTTTGATGTTGGGATCCCTGGCAGGCCCAGTTGAATAGCCTTTTGTCATTTTCAGTGCCCCAACATATATACTCAGCAATCCACAGAGGTGTGAATGTATGTATGTTGATTGTATTTATTTTGATGTATCTTGGGGTGAGTTTAGCAAATGCCAAGCCCCACCTCACCGCGGAGACCTGAACACGGCCCTCCCTGAGGATTGTGTGCCGAACCCTCGGCACTGTGGCGGCCGAGGGGGCTGTGAAGGCGCCAGCGCGGAGCTGGCGTTCCAGTCCGACCCTGAATGGGGAGGAGCGACAGATGATGAATGTGGGATGGACTGTCAATGAACCCTCAAAAGTAATGTTTCATCCAGCGTTTGAGCCTTTGATGAGCGACCAGGGTCAACGTAAGTGCACCATCTAATTGCTCCTGTTCTGGTATAGAAGAGGAGGGCCTTCCAGGTTCCAAACAGGAGTTGTACATACATGGTAGGCTGCCAGGCGTGTGTATGCGAGTGTGGGTGCATGGGGTTGGTTTGGGGGAGTTACTATCATAGACCCCGTGGGTCACATTCCATCACTGGGCATGTCGGTACCAAAGCCACTTGAGCTCCACTTCTCAACGCTATAAGGGCATGGGATTTCTGCGTTCATGGCGCGGCAGCATTCCAGCTTGTCCTAGATTCTTCTGTAGCTAAAAAATCTATCGCATGGGTTTTCTAACTCGCAAGTGTGCACTTGTCACAACTTCTCGCAGGAAAAAATTGTATTCCAAGTGTTCGACTGCAATGTTCCCTTTTACACCAGACTCAGAACTAAAAGTAGGCCCTTTTTCGGTCTCCAGCGGTCCCAGGTTCGTGAGCCAACATGGCCTGACCTCCGCGGAGACCACCGCGGCTCAAAACCTTTGCGCCAGCCCCCCTGCGCCATATCTTCGAGTCGAAGGCCATGCGGGTTCAAGACCGGTCGGTTTGGTCACGAAAAAACTGCGAAGCTGGAGTCAAGAGATGATCAGCAGGGGTGGCCCAGTTGGGACCAGGTAGATCAACCAGGGGTGGTGTCAGATCAACTGGTAGCAGGTGGATCTTCTTTGGGTTTCAGTCTTTTTTTGGTGGTGTTGCCCTGTGGGCTTGCCCCCCCCATAAAGTGGAATGCATTGCTGGCCTTAGCAAGTCACTTACAAACCCAACGCAACTCGCAAATTACATCAAATGATCATATTGCAACCTTCCAATTCCATAAACCCATGTTTATCCATGTTCAGGGGGGGCTCATGAAGACGAGAACCAGTTCCACTTTCTACATCTCGTTGACCTCTCGCGGTCGGTCACGAGGCTTTGGACGTTTGCGGAGCAACCACCTGCGTTCGATCCTGGAGGCGCTCACCACGCGAGGCCCATCTGTTAAACGCCCCATGGGTGGGGCACCATGGGGTAAGGGGGGTAAGCAGGGCGAAGCTGCGAAGCAACATCTGAATGTCCAAAGTTTTTGCATGTCTTTGCTTGGAATGGACATGAAAAGACTGTTACCTCAGCACTTGGGAGCTGAGGTACCCCCCAAAAAAGGCAAAGAAAGATGTGAACATGGTCCTTGGGCGGGGCTTTCTTTTCTTCCATGGGGAGGCCTTCAGGAGTACGTACATGACCATTCATGCAAAGAGTGGTGCCAAGAGGCTGAGAAGACCAAATAAGTTCTTGGTGTCTTTCTTGCGTTTTTCTTATTTTTGTCTTTCTTGAAGGGTTATTTTAATGTTGTTCGTTCTTTTGTTATTTTTGCTCTCGAGTTCGCTTCTTTCTCTCTCATTATATATAATTCTCATTATGCTTTCGGAATCTTTCAGATTTCAGGAGCTCGAAACATGTACACGGCCCGAAGAGTCCAAAGTTCGGTCCACGGCTCGGCTTCGATGGTCGTCCAGGCCCGTTGGTCGTTGGCGTGGACGCGAGCCACTGGGACCTCTATGGCCAGGGCGTCTTCGATGCCTGCGAGCGGGATGCCACCATCAACCATGCGGCGGCCCAGCAGAAACGAGAAGATACCAACGGCCATATACAGTCAGTGCAAGCTGCAACTGATTTGGGTTCAGATGAAACTAACCAAGATCCCCACCTTAGAGGCTATGGAAGCGGAGAACGTCCGACATATTGGTACACGACTGTTTGTGATCATGCGCTCATCAGCCTGAGTATTCCATGGTGGTCTTATTGACGCATATGTCATTTGCACCCATGTGCCCAAACAGGGCGTTGGAGCACCGTGTACAACAGTCATAGTGCTGTGTTTTTTAGCATGAAACTGGTGCCTGTAGGCTCAAAGCCAACTGAAATGATAGGAGTTTGCTACTGACAGGGTCGAAATGGGCTTCCTCTGGTAGAAATGCCCTGATTCTTGTGCCCTGATTTTCGAGAAGACCTCACCTCGGCCGAGGTGCTGTTGCTTGGTCGCTTTGCCTTGAAATCCCGTTTGGGCTCGTTCGCAGCGCCGTCTTGTGCCGTCTTGCGCCGCGGTTCGCGAGGCGTCCAGCGATGGATGCCTGTTGGGCCGGGCGGGTGGGTGGGTTCAAGAGTCTGGCTGATGGACACAGGGGAGGTATGATGGTGACATGAGATTTGAGAATGAGATGCGTTGAGATTCTTGATGTTGAAAGGACTATCCACTGAACAACAAGGGTGCAAGCAGCTCCTTGAACATGTTGATCCTCCGCATCCGGCAAGCAGGGATCAATGTGGTTTGTTTGTGGCAGGGCACCCCAGGTCTTTATGGCCCGCAGGTAGGCCTTGGTACATGTACGACTTGATCGACTTGGTATGCATGACCCGCTCATATGTATTTCTTTAAAGCTGAGGTTATGGACAAGAAGCGCTAGGCTTGCCCTTCTGGCGGGTTCGCAATTCCTGGGGCAAGGACAGGGCAGCCTGGTGGGACTGCACATGGTTGTCATCAAGACAGGTCAATCACGACAGGCCAATTCGGGTTTTGGAGGCCTTGCCATCCGAACGAACGACACGGAACACGATTTGATCCGATTCCGCATACAGCATCATACAGCATTACATACAGTCGCGCAGCATCCACCGGTATCCATGAAATCTTCTTTGTTTTTTGGGGTTGCTACTTTGAGTTTCTTTCCTACTGCTTCGGCTTGCCACTGTGACTAATTTTTGTTGGCCGACTGAGTGAGGCTTGTAGCCTCTGGGCGCGGGCATAGGTGTATTTCAGCATCCCCAGCGGCCTAGCGGCGGTCCAGCAATGTAAATATTGCAGCAGTAGCCATTGTGCTCACAATGTCTGAGTGACACAACCAACCTAACAAGGACTCACTGATTGGCATTTACCTAGCTAAGTATGCTAATTAAGTGGACGCACTGACTGCTCCTCAGAACGTGTTAAGACCCGAGCACTGCAGCGAGCTCACTAGGACTGGGGCGAGGCAGGCTACATGCGGCTCCTACGCCATGATGCTGCCCCGTGGCGTTGACTGGTGGCCTGTTCCTCACACGGACAGTCCCCACAAGCAATAAAAGTGTTAAGGCCACCAAGAGGTTCACTTCTTGAGAAGAAGCCTGTAACGCAAAGGATGGGCCTTGGGGGCACTGCCTTCCTTGGTGATGGGCCTCGGGACACTGCCTTCCTTGGTGACCTCATTTTGCGGACTCTAGGGACTTTAGGGAGTGGACACCTAACGTTCCCAACCCCGCGAGACCGGGAGTGTCTCCTGCAGCATGCTGATGATTTGAGTGATGATTTCTTTCCTGCGCTTGGTTTCATGATGGCAGTGATGGGCTAAATGGTCAAGTTTGTTCAGCTGGGATCAGGAGTCGTGGTCAAGCTGGTCGGTGGCCCATTGTTGTTCCACAGTTCCACTGTGCCTTGCAGGCTGTGTCGACGACTCGCGCTCATGCAAGTCAGTAACCCATACATTCTGACAAAGGCTCTTGATCACACCTCCGCCAATTTTCGGCTCCGACAGCGTTTTAACTCTGAAGCATGAAACAAGCACCTTGCACTGGCACTACTGTAGCAGGATGTTTGAACCCGGAATGGGCGAAGAGACAATACACTTAGACTATATATATATATACATACAGCACATATAAGCGAGGCAGACAGGAGTTAGTACCAGTACTGTGAGAGTCAAGAGGTTTGCAACATGCACTACTCTATGGCCATTCTGACATCCACACCAGAGATAGCAAGTACACATAAGTACACAGAGGTTCACCGGACCTGTGTGTGGCCTTGTTTGCTTTATGTATTGCCATGATGCAGCTTTACCATTTGCCTCACTGGCATCCAGCATGCTTGCACATTGACGTGAACACCTTGCACATGGTGTCCAAACTCTTACATCTGAAGTTTGGCGATTTGACCAAGTGACTGACGGTATGAAGCCCCCTTTGCCTCTCGATGTTCTTGTGGGTCTCGAGCACTGTAGATCAGGTCTTTGAAGGGTTGTTGGCATTAGTAACCTGTTCAAAGAACACCTTTGGGGGCTGAGAGCGCATGAGCAACCGCCCAAACCAGGGATGGGGCTGAGAGCGGTCGTGAACGACAAACACCTTGCTGAGACGACGAGCAAGCGACATGGCGTCCCTCAAAGGCGATAGCCATGTCGCTGCAGTTGTTGGATCAACTCAGTGTTGAAAGTGTGGCTGGTTGGTACCTGCGATAGGCGTCCCTCAAAAGCGACAATGACCGTGTTGAATTAATGTCCAGTTTGTTCACTAGCAGTTTCGGCACGATGACATCTGCTCCAGCTGGCTCTCCAGCCACATTGGCTCGGTTGCATAAACCTGTTGCAGCCGACCATCAAGTTGGTAGAATCTAGTAGAATGTTTCATGCCGTTTTCACACATTTCTCCAAAACGTAAATCCAAAGTCCAAAGCTGGCAAAGCTGCAACACATTGGGTGCGTTGAGAGGTGAGTTGGGCGCGAGAAAATGCTTGACACAGCACGCTATTTAGCCGTGAGACTTCCAGCGTTTCCACACGCCCAAAGGGCTCACGGGCGAGCCTTCGGGTCACTGGGCTCACGGGAGCCTTCCATTCTTGGCTGCATCCCTCGCCATCGATCGCTGCACGCTGCATGCACATGGCCGTGAAAAGGGCGGCTTCCGGGAACGGATGGCGCCGCGTTCGGGCGCGGCATCGGACGTGTCGATGTTCGATGTTCGATGTTCCTGCTTTGGGTCACCGGTCGCCACGACTGGACTGCTTTTGAAGGCAGATGTTGAGCTGACGGAGGTGTTGCGCTTCTGCCAAGAGCACCTCCAGCACTTGGAGCAGAAATTCTTTCCAATCTGCACTATAGACCGCCATGAGAAGAAATCTGGAGTGACAGACCACCGTGTTGCCACCACAATAAATGTACAAAATAATACTGAAAGGCATGGCTTCTTTCTGCGTTTCAGATTGATTCTTCATTCTTCATTCCTCGCTCGTACGTCTCTAGTCTGGCGCCATGGATCGGGTGTAAGTCGCCGAAACGTGAACGCCTCCTGATGCATGCGTGTATCGTATGCATCTAGATCACTCCCAGCATTCTCATCGCGTGACTTGCCCAACTTTTTTATATTGACATGTGCGATCGCAATGCGGTTTTCACAGTGATTGGCCAGCGATCGTGCCAACCCGTCATGTAGATTTGTGCCAATTCTTGCCATTTAGTTGCTCCATCGTTTGCCATATTCAGCTACCATTTGAATCTGAGTGTTTGCGAGTTCTGGCCCAGATCAATCCCCTGGATTCATGATGTCAACCTCACCAATTCTAGACCCGTCCGCAATTGGTGAACTCATGGCTGCGGTAATTCTTGGCCACTGCCAAGCCGACCAGTGACACCTAATGGATTTTGTCCTGAGATTCGTCCCATCCAACCCATCTCGGGTGAAGTTGCGGGATATTTGCCCAGCAGGCCGTGAAGGGCTATGTTTAAATCACGAATGTCATAGCCTGAATAACACCCTTCGAAACGTGGCATCAATTACACGCTCTCGGCGACGGATTCTTGTTTCGGTCTGTTTTGAGAGTGCGGCGTGCGGTAGAAAAACCATGAGAACACTTAAAGCATCGGCGTTGCCGCAGGGTGCATGTCATGCCGGGTCATGCATCGACCTAGCGCAATTCAGCCTGATAATTCCAATGTTAATTTTTGCACTGCGTCATCGATGCCTTTCTATCCGCAGTCGGTCAACTGTTTTTGGCTGTCAGGAAAGTGCGGACCCGACATCAGGCATATATGTTGGGAAGTATGTTGAGAGTATTAAATATATTGTTAGGCTATTCTGTCTTCGAGGTGGCAGCATGACCTTGTACCGTCTTGTAGCAACACCGATGGTGCAAGCTGAGCTTTGCCTTTTGGACATGAACGGGAAGACAAGTGCAAAGACGGCATCTAAGAACCTGTGATGTCATGTTTCCCACATACTTCTCCAACTGCTTCCGTTTTCTTACAAATGGATGCGGCCACATGCTCAACAGTTCAACACCTGCTTTAGGCATTGATATCTCCAACGCATCCCCTTTCACCATGCAGATTGCAGACCCGGGTGATCGGCAGCATCCACACTTCAAAACTTAAAATTCTTCATACTCACCGGGAAGTAAGTTTTGCTTCAGCAGTGGAATTCAATTCGAGGGTGACCCCTTCCACCGAGTTAAAAGAACTAATGAACTGACTGACTGCCACCCCCATTATATAGAGGAAGGAGAGCCACCTACCAAGCGGTCGGTTTGCGTGGGCTTTCTGCGGAACGGGCGAGTGAGCGGCCCTGGAGTTGCACAGGCGACATGGTGACGCATTTCGAGGCCCATGTCCATGCCCAAAGTCCGTTGCTGTTGCGAACTGGTCAGCCACACACCATGAGCCCTGTCGCCGGCGTCCACTTGAAGGCTCCTCCTGGAGCAACGGCCCTGAGCACTCATCGCGCTGGCGGCCGGCCTTGGAAGGGCCGAAGGGGCACCGGCCTTTCCTCCATGGCCATAGGTGGTGCTTGTGTGTGCTACAGCTACACATGCAACTTCGATTCCAACCTGGCGCACGCAATCAGCAAGCATGTTAAGCCGAGTGTAGATTGCCTGCAGCTTTCAACTTATGGACACTTGGTCATTCTTTCATGGTGCCAAGCTGGCAAGGCTGACATCCATCATACGAAGCGAGTCTGGGGATTCCGCATAAACAACTCAGATTGTGTTGGCCGAGTGCCAGTGAAGCAGCAGGTCAAGTAGCTCTTGATTCCTGCAGCCAACCCATCAGGAGAGGAATGTTTCCTAGATGATACTGATGATGGTGTTCAGCGGTGGCAGTGAATGTGGATCGCCACTAGCTTTGTTCAACTTACGCATTCCTCACCCGGCTATTCTACGCTGGGAGGAATTATATGAATGAAGCGCAGCTCATCCATCAAAAACAATTTGTTTTGCTTGTGCCATTTTGGAAGCACTGTTCCAGATCCAGAATCGATGCTCCAAGCTGCTGCTAGGTGGCTACGCAGAAATGCCGGTCGTCTCATGGATGCAACAACTGGCTCCGGGAAGCCAACTCCAGCCACGATTGTGCACCATGGTTGATGTCTATGGAATGGCCTTGATTACGGAAATGACTCACCTTTACCGATCATGCCAACACAACCTTTCTATCTACGTTACACTCCCTATGCTAAAGATGAACCTTCCTCCATTCAACCACTACTAAACAAAGCTGCCTGAGTTTGTCGATCCAAACTCTTGATGACCCTAACTAGGCCACATTAGCCCCCGCAGAGATTCACCAAAGATCATAGAACTATAGAGAGTGCTGAACAGACTTTTCTCTTCTGAGAAATCGCCACTTGTGGAACAAGATTGAGCCTCCCCAAGCAATTAGATCTTATGAGATTCGCTTTCAATAGAAGACTAGATCTTCTGATGCATGGCTTAGGTGATTATCAGGTCGGATTGCCAAGACTTTTCACAGTCAGAAGAGCCGCATCCCTTTGAACCCGCCTGTTCACCCGGTTCGTCCAGTCTGTTGGTCCGCTCCCGGGCCGTGACCCACCTGGAGCCACCAGGTAGGTCATCCGGTCGGTCTGGTGCCATGACCCACATGGCACCAGGGGCTGCTGGTCCTCTCCTGGACATTGAGAGACCAAAAGAGGATGGCCCGGTTCATGGGCCATGGGTGATTCGGCAGCAGTTGCGGGTCACCACCAGTTGGCGTGGATTGCTGAAGTGAATGCCTTTTGTAGACTTTCAATTGCGTTCCAATCTCAGCAACTGCCAGAATTCTAAAGCGCAATTGTGCTCTAAAAGCAAGATCAGATCCGTTGATGAACTATGGCGCTGCAGAGTTGTACAACGGCATGTCATCACCCAGGTCAACCCGAGTGGAACACCACAAACTGCAGGAGTTTGAGGGATGTGAATGGCCTCGGGGCCTGCTGCTAATTGTTCTTACAGTAACCAGTTCCTCCAAGTATAATTAGA